TGTGTAGGTGTGTGTAGGTGTGTAGGTGTGTATGTATGTAGGTGTGTAGGTGTGTAGGTCTTGGCTCTGGTTGTGTACGTCAGTGGATTGTTTTTCCTCTGTCAAAACAACTCGTCGTCTCACGTGACTCCCTGACGTACAGTCCTCCGCTCCGCGCTGATGCAGGGGGGGGTTTCCATCATGGCGTCGATGCAGGTAGGAACACAATTGACAGCGATCCCGTTTTTATAATGCACCTGACCTTCAGTGTGGCCTTTCCCCGGCGGTTCATCCACCGTTTTGACTTAGGCACACGCGTGTTTGTTGGAAGCGGCGATGACAGCAGAGTAAAAGCGATTAGATTGATCCTCCTCTGTCCAGGGTTAGCGCTAGCTCTGTGCTAGCAACACAACTAGCACATCATCACCAGCAGCAGCGAGTCGAGCTTCCCGGATATACACACACATGTATATTGATGTATTTTCTTCGTAGTAACATATAGATTGTAATTGGGAGAATGTGAGGTTACGAGTTTAGATTATATATATATATATTTTTAAAGGAGCGCTAGCTGCTGTTTGGTTGTTCGCTAGCTAACGAGACGGTGCGCAGATTGAGTAGTTCAGGCTCCTCTCGAGCTGAACAGGTGCTTCAGCCTCCTCTAAAAGCCCACAAACATACCTTACAACCCGTACATTAGTCTGTTGGCGACGTGGGTTTGTCTAACGGGACATCTCACCTGTCACACATTGTTTTATATACTAGGTAAACAGTGTTATCAGTCAGGGAGGTGTTTTAAACTAACGCTACATTTACACGTCGTTAAATGATATCCATTGATGTTTTACGGTGGTTTGGTTCGGGCTCTCTTAATACAAAGCCCGGGCAATTAGGTTATATTCTCTATACTATTGTTTTTACTTGATTTGCCTCTTGCTGTGTTGTGTATATTCTCGTGATGCTCCATTTCATCATTTTTGAGTGTGGTAGAAACCCCAACACATTTCTCTCCAACAGAAAAGGCTACAAAAGGAACTATTAGCCCTGCAAAATGATCCGCCCCCAGGAATGACTCTAAACGAAAAAAGTGTACAGAACACCATTACACAGTAAGTATTTTCACTCTCTTATTTCCCAGTGTGATTCATTTGTTTTAGCGTTTTTTTCCGCAGTAAACCTTAGGGCAGGGTCACCTTACACCTGCATTAGTCACTGAAGAAGGGTTTGCATCTACGAATAAACACCAATCCAGTGTGGCTTTTGCTAAATGTCGTGTTTCAGCTCTGTGGCAGGGCAGTGTGGTGAGCGTGCCACACATGCAGCAAAGGTTGGAAGCTGTAGGAGAGCCTCGGCAGCGAAGGGTGAGGAGGAATCGGGGTCATTCCCAGTGACTGGCAGCTCTGGCCCCTCAGTGGAGTGTCTCTAATGCACAGTGTCACTATTCATCCTTGTAAAATATTTAACAGTTGGCATGGAGGAGCTGGGACTAGAGTAGCAAGGAACAGAGGCTGCTAAGCTGACCTTTCTTTTCTCGGTGTTCTCTTAAAAGGCCCCGTGAGTTCTGTAACTCAGTAAGTCGAATTGTGTCTGATAAGCAGCGAGGCTGGACCGAGTTGCGCCCTGCAAATGGACCAGAGGCACATATCTGGCCGGCGTTCAAGTGTCTTTCAGCGGCAGGGCTTGCGGCGTTGACTTTGAAAGTCACTACCTGGTTGCGCTCATCAAAATGTCTTCCAGCATCAGTGCCGTCTTAAAGAGGCAATACGTGTTACAGTGCTTGTGGTTATTTTAGGAAAAAAACAACAAACAATGAAAAGGTCCATTATGTGGCATCTCCTTCATCTTCGTGGATGACAGATGTCCCGGTCAGACTGAATGAATGTTTTGTGTTTCGTGCATGACTGATATGTCTCCAAAACCTGTTCGGCTGGCTTCCGAGTTCCCTGTGCATCCCATGTTTGCGATGGTATGTATGGGTGTGCCTTTTTTGTCTCCAACTCCGATGTCGAAAGGTGTTTGAGCCTGGTTTAGTTTTCCGTCATAGTGACAGTAGTAGGGATTTGCCATGCGTGTCCCAGAGGAGGAAGGGACAAATATTCGACTTGACATTGAATCTTACCGTATCCTTTTAAAAAAGAAGACGACTCAGTAGGGCTGTGCGTATGACAGTGATAAGGTGACCATGTGTTTTGGGTTTTACAGCTTTTGTTTATATAGTGCACACTCTCTCTCAGTGCTGCTTGTTAGATTACAATGTCTGTCGATGCAGATGGCTTAACTCGATGCTGTAATGAGTCAGCCATTGCAAACAAGGAAACAGCTGCTTTAAATCACTACAGAGTCTCTCATATGTGGACTCAGTTTCCCCCTCTTTCGCTAAATGGCTCGGTGTTGTTTTTGTTGACTGGATCATATAATCACCAGGCTATGGGGAATTTGAGCAAGTTGAGCATAATGTCCTTGGAGTCCTTGGCTGTGTTCGGCGTGGGTTGCATCAGGTGTAACTCAGCTTTATGTACAGTGATGCTGCCTCCCTGTAAGAGGTACTTTCAGAAGAAAAATGGAGCTCTTTCAGACGTTTTGACCATTGGATTTTCTAAAGGCGAGGTTTTAAACGGGACTGACCTTGTAAGTAGGCCGAAATGATCATGTGCCTGAGGGTAGGTTTGAAAGAGACACAAAGCTATGAACCCGAACAACAGCCACAAGTCTCTTTGGTGTCCTATCTTCACTGCTAGCCCAGAAGAAATTAGGCCAGAGATTGCGACGCTGCCGTCCGTGTTGCTCCTTCCTCTCCTCTGAGGGTTCTGCTGCGGTCAAGCAATCCCCATAAGTATTCTGCACTGGACGTGCCAGTGAAGCAACGTCTCGCCTCTGGGTTCAATTGAGAAGGTAGACTGCCCTTCATCCCAAAGACCCAGGATCAAGTCCCTGTGTTTGCAATCATCTCCCTTTCTGAGCAAGACATTGAATCCCTCACAGCTCAGTCAGCACAGTTCTGTAGCTTGGCTACAGAAGCGAAAATAGATTTTGTCCACAAGATCAATAGAGTATCACATTATTACTAAACCACTGTCATAACCCAGCGGAATATTGAATGTCACTGGAATGAGTCAGACTAAAAGCTTTTGATTACACACTTACCGCCGCATTGGCAGCTCACATTTTGTATGATTCTTTTTTAATGATAATGAGATGGGATCCATGCAATGATGAAAAGAGCATGTTATTAATCATTAGTCAACAAGACTGAGAGTCTAGAGCCACGCTAGCGGCTCTGGGATGCGTGGGCATTTACATGTACAACGTTACATGCACACCATTTACTAATTAGCAGGTAAGACAGAGTACAGCTGGGGCTGATGGGAACATTAAGTGTTGGACACATTCTGAAATGTTGATTTGATGATGGCGCCAAATGGAAAGTCTGGGGATGACCAAAGTTAGTACTATTCATCCTGAGGGGGAGCAAGAATGTGTCAATCAAATTTCATGGCAACCCATCCAACAGCTGTTAAGACAGTTCACACAAAACTACATGCCAATGTCATGATGGCGCTACAGGAAAAGCCAGGGAATCACCAAAGTAACTGACACTTCATGGCATAATGGATGTCTGTAAGTTTCATTGCAATGTATCCGGTGATTGTTTAGATATTGAAGTCTAGACCGACCGACTGACATTGTGATCCCTAGAGCCGTGCTGTTAGTATGGAGAGAAAAACAACAACAACAACAACAACAACAACCCTGTATTGCATAAATCCATTTCCTCCCAAAACACAGGACAGATTTGTTCTTAAAGGAAATGTTAACCTCATGACTTGACAGCAGGAAGTTAATAACTCTGCTCCAATTTCCTTCAAAATATTTTGCAACAGTTCAGCCTTAAAGTTATCTCAGTCATCTGTTTTAAACTGCTAGATGCTTTGGTTATTTAAACTGTGTGAAAACTGCGTGTAGTTAAAACAGATCAAATCAAAGCTAACTGCCTGTGTTTTGGTTTATTGTTGGGATGATCTGTGTATATTTTTTTATGTTTGAGTGAAATGTTTAACATATCTTAATATTGTGCATTTCTTTTAGGTGGATTGTAGACATGGAGGGAGCACCTGGCACACTGTACGAAGGAGAGAAATTTCAGCTGCTTTTCAAATTTAGTAGTCGATATCCCTTTGATTCACCTCAGGTAAGCAGAAGTTGCTCTGCAACCATCAGTGTGTGTGTTTGTTTGTATGTGGGTAAATATGAGGCACTTTGTCTTGCTCTGCTCTTGAAAAGTGTTCTATAAAGCAGTCCATTTACTATTTTTCTTTGAGGTGCTAGAAAGCCCTGACGGCGTTTAGCCATGACATCATGGCGGCTTTGCTGGGTGTGGACACCAAATGAACAGACAAACCTGGAGTCTGGTTACATGTGATTTGGCTATACTGTTTGCTTTTGTGACTAAATGTCTAATATCCCATCTCCTGCGACTGTTTGATCATAGAATTAAGTTCTTAATTACGGAAGTGGTTACAGTAGGTTTGCAGGTACAGAGTACAGGGGTGTCCTTCTCCAAACAAAATCAAAAACTGATGACCTGTGTAAACAGTCCGCTATATCCACTGTCTGGATGCCTGCCGTAATCACATGAAACACACCGGCTCTGCAGTTGTTAGTGGAATGAATCTGGGCTTGGAAACATTGGAGCCAGGAATCACCGACAGAGACACCAGTACAGAGCTCCCACTGAAGCCATGTTTGAGTGGATTAGTTTAACTCAACAATCTTGTTTCGCTCATCAGTAGGCTGCCCAGCTAAAAATAGATAATGAGCTGATGCAGAGAAAATGAGATACTTTTAGCTACTTAGCGACTATCCTTTGAAATAGGAAGGGCAGGCTGTCAGAGTATCCCTCTGTTGGGACTGTTCTTGGGGCTCCTGAAGGAGCTTCAGTGTTGACTACTGCAGTGCATTACTGGTTGTGTGGGGAGCTTCAGTTGTAATTGTCTGTCGCACAAATGTGTAGTTGTGATAGTATGTGTGCACATTGTATAGTGAATGCCGTTATTGTCATGAAGAAAATAAATCTGTTGTTGTTGCTCAAACTCAGTTGAGCTGCTTGAAGCTTCTGTTCCTGCAGAGCCTCTTGTACTGTGCCTGTGTAGTTATATAGTGATTGTGGGCTTGCTGCGCTTCGCAATCAAAGCCACATGCAGCTCCCTGTTTTGGTTGCAAAACTGCCATTTTGCCCACTTCAATGAGTTGAAATTGATTTTGTTCTCAGAGTGCTTGTAAATTACAGTTTTGGGAAAAAAAGACACAGAAAGAAAACAGAAAGACAACAACAAAAGTGTCAAACAGCAGGATGCAAACACAAATAGTACCAAAGTGGCTGCAATATAACATGGAGAGGGGAAAGTAACATGTACATTAACGTCAGTACCTGTCTGCTCAGAGCTCCTGTTAGACCTCTAAGCTTTGTGTGTTTCAGATGTTTCTGCTAATATTATATACAGCCTTCAGTTGTCTTGATGTTTTGAGTGTAGTGCCAGCTTTTCTTTCTGCTCCTATCTGTAACACTCATCCTGTCACCCCCCCCTCCAGCCCCAGTGATGTGGAGTCTGTACTCTCCTGTGAGGCCCTATCTGGTGCCAGACTGCCTCAACTCATTGTTACACTGCATTACCCTCTTTACTCCCCCTTCTCTCTACTTTTAAGCACCTCAATGTTGAGTTCCTCTCTTCTCATCACACTTTCTGTATCTCTTACACCCTTTTACTGGCTAATATCCCCGTTCCTTTTTATAGAACATGACTCTTTTCCTTTTTTTGTTTTATAAAACTCCTCTATTAGTCTCCCTTTCTCTCTTCCCCTCTCTCACCCCACCCCGGCCCCTCTGCCCTAATCCCAGAGCCTCATGTTGCAGTTCAGGGCTAAGCCTGAGCTTATACAGCAAGTCTCATTATTTTGTCATTAATGAAAAAATCTCAACTTTTGACCAGACTCTCTGAAGTTGTACCACCAAAATACCCTCAATTCAGTGAAAACTAAAGAAACCGTTGCTTCTTATTATGACATATTCACTGAATGATCTTAATAACCCCTGATTTGTTTGTGTCTTTGTTTTCGCTGCAGGTAATGTTCACAGGAGAGAATATACCTGTCCACCCTCATGTGTATAGTAACGGTCACATCTGTCTATCTATCCTAACGGAAGATTGGTCGCCAGCCCTCTCAGTGCAATCAGTTTGTCTTAGCATTATCAGCATGTTGTCCAGCTGCAAAGAAAAGGTAGGGGACGTGCAATGATGTCCGCCGGGCACAAATACAGTGATTAGTGTAAATTATACGCTTTTTAAATGTTAAACCTGAATGTTCTTTTTCTGCAGAGACGACCGCCTGATAACTCCTTTTATGTAAGAACGTGTAACAAAAATCCAAAGAAGACAAAATGGTGGTATCATGGTGAGGATTTTCAATTTTCCTCGTTTTGTTTTGGTGATTGTTTTTTTGTCGGAGGACGTAAACACAGTTGCTTGTGATCGCAAACTTAATGTCATTTAAATATTTTTTTGTCTTCCTTCACAGATGATACATGCTAATGTACAAACTTTGTAATAATCGTAGAAGAAAGAAGTCCTACTGACCTACGTAAAGCACTTTTTAAATCATTCAGTCTTTGAACTCTGACCTTTGACTGGAACAATGGACACCACGCGCTGGAGGCTCTTGACTGCATATACCCCATGGACAGTTGGATGCATGTTTTAGTCGGCTGTAATATAGAGAACGAAAATAATGGAACGTTTAGATGCACCCGAGACGGTTCGTTTTTTGTTTGTTTTTCTTGGCAAAAAGGTAGTGACGCAGCGAGCGAGCGAGCAAGCAAAGTGGATTTGTAGTGAGATGATTATAATTCCTGTTTTAAGATTATTATTGTTACTTTTTCGTTTGTGTGTGGGTGCATTTTAAGGTCCTTGTGTTGTGCAATAATAACTGATGGATGCATGCTTGGGCCTACAAAGAGAAATCCAAAAGTAATCGTTTTCTGGAAGGGATCTGACCATCGTAACCCCAAGAAAATGCTTCATCTGTGTGTTTATTTTTAAATTATATGCACTGTGAAAGTATCTAGTAAAGGCACTATTAGTATGTTATTCCCAACTTGCAGTCGGACTGTAAGCAGTCCTCCACTTATTTATCAGGTTAAAGGGTTTTAGTTTGCAACACTGTATCAAGAGTAGACGCAATTTTCTTCTTCATCTTCCAACTTCAGACCTGGGCTGCAGTTGTTCCTGCTGATGGACAGAATGTCGGTACAGATGGGAATAAAACAGATGCGACGCTTTAGTCAGCTGATGACCTCAGTGTGTGTCTCCTGGTAAAGTCGGGCTGAACTCGTGTAGTGTTCACCAGTCCAGTCTAGAAGATGTACAGCAGCCTCTCTTCCATTTAAAGAATGTCTGTGTGAGAACATTGTTGCATGATCCATTTTTATTTGTACGATACATTTTTTTTTTTTTTTTTTAAATTTCATGCTTTAATCTTTTAAGATGTTTGATTTTAAAATGTCTTTTTTGTACTGTTTTTCAACTAGCTGATACTTTGAAAAGGGGGGTTGTTTTGATGGGTCAGTATGTTTTGGGATTTTTTTTTTTCTTTTTGTATTTGTTATTTAATTTAAATCTTTGTTCTTCAGAATGGTAATGAATGACGAAAAGGAGAGTCTTTATAGAAGTCGTATAGACGAGGCTTTTGTGATTTCCCCCCCGGTCAGAGTTTTGGCTCAGGTACTTTTTTTTCAATAAAGAGATCACCTCTAAAAAGATACCTATCAGATATTTTGAATTTAACTATATTTTCACCAAAAGAGACTGTTATGTTGTAAACTTATAACACGTCTGAAACTATTGTATATAAGTCTTTAAATTGTTGGATGACGTGAACGAAATTAGCAGAGGATGCTTTTACTTTATAGCAGAATGATAATAGGAGTGCTTTATTTCATTGGAAATTGTCCTGCATCTTTTGCTAATTAGGATGTGTACAGACAGCAACAAACACTACTGTTGGTTTAAAAAAAGAAGTTTAGTAGTTTTACAGTGGGGGTGCATGCAATTTTAAACCCTACTTTTTTTTCTTATTGGCATCAGACATTGTGACAACTTTGAGTCTTTCCATAACTTAGGTAATGGTTTATGGGATGGATATTACAAACCTCGCCTCCAGAGGCTGTGTGGCTCTTTGTCATTTCAGACTGTAATCGACTCCATTCCTAAAGAAATGTTTATCGCCATCCAGTCAGAGATACTTGAATTTTTCCATCTTGGGTTGTTTGTATTGCATTTGCTTTTTCCAGGGTCTAGCTGAGTTTTCTTGAATGAACTTGAGTGAATGTGATGATACTCTATACTGTAGAGAAGATTACCACAGCACACCGCTATCTCAAAAACTATATTGATAACTTAAAGACATCTATTTAACCAATGATTTTTTTTTTACTAGCTTCATTGTAATGGTCTTGCCTGCTGTCGCAGAGAAATGGACGGTAGTACTGAGATAATTGTGTAAATGCAGTCACAACAGCATTTGTGTGGGGACAAGAAGCCTTCACCCAGTGGGCAGTGGATCAGAAGAGATTTTGAAAAACTTTCGAGTGAATATGTTGCAAACAGTTTGGATGTGACATGTTTTTTTTTTTCTTCCTAGGTTTTTTTCTTTTCATTTTTTTTCTTTTTCAATGCTGTTTGAACTCTTAGCTTGCAGGTTGTTGTGAGTGATCAACACTAATGAGGGTGTGTTATTTATATTTGACATTTTGTTCTGGGATGTGCAAGCTCCATGTAATAGGTGCCTGTTCATTTTCATAATCAATAATAAAAGCAAAGATTCACTTTTATTCAACCTTGGTTTGCACATTGTTTAAATAGCTAATGCTTCTGTTATGCAGCCTTTAAAAACCTTTTATGGATTTTATGCTGACATAAAACTAAATTGTTCCACTATAAAGGGAGTGAAGGTAAGGATGAGGATGATTTAGGAAGAGAATTGTTTAGTTTGCCAAAAATATTAAAGGATCCCGAGACATTTCACAGTGTAACAAAGAGTGGATGGACCTGGAAAACTATTTAAAGTATTTCATACCATTCATTTCAGAAAGCTTAACAAGTAAAAGGGTTTTCAGAAATATTCATTCTCATACTTGAGTACAAGTACACTAGAGCTTTGGATGCATTCATCACTCCCCTGTTCAAAATGTAGGCCAAACTACATCAGTTAGTCTTCTTGAACGTTCAGTTTTGTGTATAATAAAAGTATAAGCACAATCAGTCACAAGACCTTTACAATGCCAGATGTTTTACTGCATGAAAGAAACCAGGGGTTGGTTCATGTGATGTCACTGTGCATGTGTGTGTGAGATCACACAGAGGAAGAACCCAGTGTTTCATCTTTGTAAAGGAGAGTGCACTGGTCCCTCTATGACAGGTAGTGCGCCACAGTAACACAAGAAAGTGTGATTCAGTGGCACCATCTAGTGGTCACATTACAATAATACTCTTGTCAAGTCTGAATCCACAATTTATTTATTTTTTTACCTTCTCCCTGCCACACTTCTTAATAAACGGTTCCTACTGGACTTTATGTGGGCCCTGTCCAGCTGTGGGTCGCCAGAATCCCCCCCACCTACCATCTTAGCAATAACAGCCCTGATTGGATGTGGTTTCTTGTACAAAGAGATTGTTGACACAGAATCCAGACCAGGTGGTTTTGAGGTTTGAGAGACACTTAACTATTAGACCTCTTCATTCAACACCAGAGGTGTCCTCCCAAGTGCCCTTGAGCAAAGGCAGTAAACCCTACAATGGCAGGGAGTTATGTGCTCACTAAAATAAACAAACATCAAAAAACACTCCAGCTATAAGTTTTATTAACTTAATAACTGAACTCACTCAATGAAGAAGCTTCCCTAAAAAAAAAAATAGTCAAAGTGATTCAATCTTTAGTCATTTTTAAAAGTTATAAACACCGATCCGTATATCAAATTTCAGGGATACTTGTGCTGTCAAATGCATAATATAAATATAACACTATCCTGGCTGTAATCCACATTTTGTGCTCTGAATCAAAGTTACACTGTTTCAGGCTGTGAGGTAGCAGACCAGGACTGAACCATTCACAGCACCGCGGGGGTGGCTGATTCATTCAAGATTCACCTCAAACTGCAATGATGGTGAGTTAGCGACACGCGAAACATAACACTGGCGGCATAAACACAACACAAACTTCCTAAATGAAATATCAAAATGACCAGTCGTGTGCCTCTAACGGGGCTTGTTTTATTTTTGTACCCAGATACAAATAACGTGGTCTGTTCCCTCTTCCATCCAGTTCTCTTTAGTGTTTGCCAATGTCGGAGGTGTAACTGGGGTCTGGCCCTGGACAAAGGTAAAAAATACCCTCAAATATTTGCCCCTTTGTTGTTGGATGGTCTCTGGATTATTCGTCACGCTGTCGCCAGTCCGTATATGATGTCGCGGTGGGCTGAAATCCCCCAGATATTCGTGGAGGATGGGGCGGTACGGAGATGCTAGCAAGAGGGGTGCTCGGCCGATCAGCCATGATGAGCGTTAACCGGCTAAACTAGCGTTACCGGAGGTGGCTAGTGTGTGTACATTCATCAGGAGAAATCACACTGACACAAGCATGACAGCATGCACGCTCGCCAGTCCTGTTGGTTCGTTTTTAGGAGCTGACATTTGCAGGAAACGGCGTTTTTCTCGTTGGCCAACGTTAGCTTCCTGCTAAGCTGGAAACACAGTCGAAGCTACAGTGTAGGTTCAGGGGTTGCAGACAAACCCTGTAGCTCTGGCAGTCACCCTGAACGCAACACCACCTCCACATTCAACTCAAGTGGACGGACAGACGGGCAGTCGGGTTGCTGTGTGGGGTTGTGTTTAGTGCGTGTTGCTGTGAGAGAGGGGAAGAAGAGAGAGAGAGAGATTGTGACCCCCCCGAGAACCTCAGGGGGCAAAGCAAGATGCAAGCAAGACTTAAACAGGGAGGAGGAAAAAACCAATCGACTGCACGCAGTGAAATAAGGTCACAGGTCAGAGTTAAACTTGCATTTTATTTTGTGGGTACGCAAGTGCTCTGTTGTTGACACCAGTCCAGCCCTCGACTGTAAACAGTGGACCTGGGTGACACCTGTAATCATGATTTCAGGCTGAAGCCCGTCTGAAAACTGCCTCCATCGACCTATGTGACATCTCAAACCGGAGTAAGGCACTGATTTAGATTTTTTGTCATGCACTCAGTTTTTACAATCCTGTAGATTATTTTTACGGTGGTACGCTGACCGAAGCTATTGTCCATCTCCTGGAGCTGGCAGGTTTAAAGCCAGCATGTCAGGTGTCCATGTGCAATTTCTCCACACACCGGGGGGGTCGGGTTCAAGGTCTGACCCTTTGCTCTGACCTCTGTGGGGACATGAAAAGAATTTCCCCTCATATCCCTTTTGGTTCATGCCACATATTGATGTGAACCAGTAGTTGAGCCGCCTTGGCAAGATGTGATACACTTTATATCTTTTAAATGATTTTTTCTTACATTTCAGTGTTCTGTCTTCATCTTTTGTTGATGAAAAACACATGGTAGACTGTTATGTTACTTATATTGCATAGCCACAGGCTGTGACCTGTGTGCAGTTGAATTCGCCAAAATATTGCATGGATGCAAAAAAAGATGAAAGAGTAAATGTGCGTAAATTTTGACCAGATTGTTGGACCCTCTCTGCTGATCATGTTAACCTGGTTTATATTGGCCCGTCTAGCTCTCTTTAGTCGGAAATAAAATGTGATTGAGCGTTCATTGTCTTGTTCAGGCTGCTATCACAGGATTCTCTCCTTTTTCCGGGGAGCTTAGCTGCAGTAACATGAGCAAAGCTCCTTCAAATAAAGCTTCATTGTCTGGCTGTATTAGCTGCCAGTGGATCAGAATGTGAGATAGGCCTAGGGCTGCTCAGTTTGAAGTCCATTCTCCAGGCCCACAGGAATCTGTCAGATGACGGTGAACTGCTTGAAACTGTGCAAAGACTGGCATGGAATAATGTGGGCTCGAGCACAAGTGCAGACAGATGCGTGTTAATGATGCACACTTCATGTCTGACCTCCTTATTTATTATGAATTTTATTCTTTTTAACACACAACTCCTGATTTTCCCCAACATTAGTTCAATTCAATTTAACTTTATTTTAGACTCATGCTTCCATATTAACACAAAAACAACAAACTTCAATCCACGACAACAACATAGTCTATTAAAGTGATATGATTGCAGTCTGTAATGATCACTATGTTTCTAAAAAAGTTTTAAGCTCTTACTCCAACGTTACGTTCCAGGAATAGAGCATGGCTCAAGTGAAAGTACAGACCTCAGCACCCCTGGCTGGTCCTGGCCTCTCCCCCGGAGTTCCCCCGACGGCCATGGCCAGCCCTGGATCCCTGGGTCTGCAGCCCTCCGTCAACGGCACAGGCCCGGCCCCCACACCCGCCTGCCCTGCTCCTGCAGTCGGATATGGGGACGCCCCTGTGTCTGCCACATCGCCAGGTAGACCACCAACAGACTAGTTTGCCTTTCGGGTGAAAATGAAGTGATGGTTTTGCAATAACACTGTGGTCTCAATTATTATTGATGATTATGTTTATTTGATTTATGATAAATAATGAACCACTTACGTCTCATCAGCACGTCCTATTATGAATTGCCACGGGCAATGTAAGAGAGATTAAATGTTTCAGTGTAAATGTACCAGCGTTGTACAGTTATTGTGTATTCATGGTTTTCATATAATATTCATTGTATGACAAGAAAAGAATGATATAAATTCAAGTTACAAAGAAAATGGTATTATCAGAATAGACCTGGTCACGGACCTTTTCTGCTCTTGAGCTCTTTGGATGCAGCTTTGGATGCAGGTTCAGTGGTAAAGGGTTGCGCTCACCAGCGACAGATGTAGACAGCCTACCTCAAGATTAGTGTTGTGCATGTGTATGGTGTTGCGCTATTTAAAAAAAAAAAGCAAAAACGTGTCGAGTGAATAGACCTGTAGCTTCTGTTCTCTCCACTGCTTATTGTTAAAATCTCATAGTATCGATCAGATAACCCAGTATTATTACTAAGCGAAATGAGATTGTCTGCACTATGAGCCATGGTCTTGGATCACAATCAATACCCTGTAAGATTCTGTCGCTTTCAAACAAATGAAAACACACCTGAGCCCCTGCCCTTCTTCCAAAGAGAAACAATATCTTGAATGTTTTTGTTTTGTTTAGTGAATTTAGTTTTTTTGTGCATCAGACATAATAATTCCAAGTGGAGTTTTTGTTGTACAACTTTTCTGACATGTAAATGCTGCACCAGATACATGCTACAATATATGAATATCCCATTTCACACATTGTCACACATTCAATCAAATTTTAAAATGTATTCAGCATGCCATGTATTCTGCTGTGCTCTGTTTTAGGCCCACCCCAGGAGAACATGGCAAACCCTAAAGAGAAAACTCCAATGTGTTTGGTGAATGAGTTAGCCCGTTTCAATAGGATCCAACCACAGTACAAGCTCCTCAATGAGAGAGGGCCTGCACATGCTAAGGTAAAGAAGGGGGACATGACACTGAAGTCGAAAACGGGGCGTGTCTTTCACCTGTTCACAGACTGTTATGACATTTAATTTTCACAAAATTAGTGATGGTGGCATGACGACCAATGTGCCTATTGTGGAAGTAGATTTTTTTTAACTTACTTTCATCCTGTGGTAATCAGTGCTTATTTTTGGCATTTGCTCCTGTGATGATGTTTCATATTTTTGAGTACTTTTCATTAGAGATGGGAATTGATAAGATTTTGTATTCCCTTGTTGATTTCTGATCAGTTTTTTTTGTGGGGAAAAAAAATAATGCAAAAAAACAATGTACCTATAAAGCCTGGGATGATATGCTTATGTCCCGGTTCAATACGATTCCAATACTTGGGGTGCTGATTCTGTAAGTATTGAAATTATTATTTATGTTCGATATTATGATTTATTGTGATTTTTGTTTGCTTTTTTAACACTACACCATGGCTAAACATTTTTTATTTTAGCATTATCATTGCTATACTGCATATAAAAGTGGTAAATAAAATACAAATGTATAATTGATTCAGGAATTTAAAAGAATTGCAGTACGACAATTTGTATTCTTAATTCCCATCCCTACTTTTCATAAATGAATATTGGTCATGTAGAAAAACAGCTTCTACCACATGGGTTACAGAGGGATGTTGGTAAAAATATAGTTGCTCTCGGGTAAAGTGTCTCCCTCTGGGTGTTACTGTTCCAGATCTTCACGGTGCAGCTGACTCTTGGGGAGCAGGTGTGGGAGGCAGAGGGCACCAGCATTAAAAAGGCCCAGCACTCCACAGCCGCCAAAGCGCTGGACGAGAGTATCCTTCCCAGGCCAGCACCCCGCTCCCCTAAGGTGGATATCAACAGCAACCCAGGTACTGCAACCGCAACAAAATCTCATTGAAGTGAATGATTACATCTAAACCAACTTGTTACTAATGTTTAAGGCCTGGAATGGCTATTTTAACTGAGGCTGATTGAATTGGTAAAAGCTGCACCTCAGCTTCAGCAACAGATAACAGATGCTGCCTGCAGCAGCCAGACAAAGTAAGATGGCATCAGGACCTGTTAAGCTTCTCATTAGGGTTGTCAATAGTGAGCTTCATTTTTTTTTAAAGCAGGAAAGCTGGCTCCTATTTAACTGAAGCTTTTCAATACTCAATATGTAAAATAACCAGGTCCCATTTCCAGGTCAGACTATATTTATTTGTTCAAGTTAAGCTAATATTTTCAACCCTCTAACTGCCAGTGAAATTCCTGAGCATGTAGAGCATAGAACGTATTCTTAATTTAACTTAGTATCTATAGTAACTTCTTCTAGTAATAACTTGTAGTGTCAATTAAAAGTGTGAGAGTGGAGGCAGTGGTAAAATATGTCAGCTATGGAGTTACACCTAGATTACTTGTTGCATACTGTAATTATATATATATATATATATATATAATAATGTATAACTGAAAGCTCACAGCGTAACAGAAACCACTATAGAATATGACTGTGAAGGTATGGAAGGGTAGAAGGGACATCTTTTATCTTTCTTCTCCTCTGTATGTGGTTAAGTGTAGGTTGCATCCACCTACAGCCAGTCATTTGTAGTGCTATCGATGCATGTGTTCAAATTCTGTGTTGTGGTTTAACATGTTTTTACAGATCTGAATTGTTCCTTCAAGGTTGCATTAGTGCCCTCTACTGTTCATGGTACCTGCAAGGCCTCCATGTCTCCATTATTAATGGAATTTCTCAGTATTTTGGATTTTCACCTGAAGGACTTTGGCTTCCAGGTGTAGGTCTAAAGCCGCTGGATATATTTAGATAATCCATGTTCAGAACAAAGCCAACACAGACCCTCTCAATAAAGCCTAAGTGCAGGCTTATGTTTTGTCTTTGGCTAAATTAATACCGCTAGCCTGTCTTACCTTCCCTGCCCTCTGTGGCATTGTTGTTGTGAAAGACCTCATGGCCAACCTCTTCATGGGATTAAGAAAGCCCTGTGATAGGTTATGCAACATCAGTGGGGATCTGTGGGATTAGCGGCGCGTGCATCATACACAGTTAAACATGTAGGCAAGTTCTACAGTTTTTAGGTAGAATAATGTTAGATGTAAAGTCCCTTGGTGATCCTGTTTTAATGTTGAGCTTCAGAGGCAGTTTTTAAAGTTTTATTTGCTTAAGTCAGATAGAAATATTTCATAACTCTTGGTATGTAATGTTTAGTACAACTTTTCATGGCCTTTGTTTTAATCTTTCATGTTTATTCTCATTCACAGGCAGTATAACACCCACAGTGGAGCTGAATGGTCTGGCCATGAAGAGAGGGGAGCCAGCTATCTACAGGCCTTTGGATCCCAAGCCCATGCCCAATTACAGAGCTAACTACAACTTCAGAGGGATGTTCAACCAAAGGTGAGCTCCAAAAATAGAACTTTTATTCCTTTTCGGTCCCAGAGCTATGTAGTGACACGGCTTATTGTTTCGCTAATGGGGGATTGTTCCTCTTCCTTCAACTGACAAATTACAAATTCCTGCACTACAACGTCATTTGTTAATAATTAGGACAGACACCGCCTGGTTACTCAGCAGGTTAAACATCTGTTCTGTCACCTCCCGCTCTACACGGTCACCTAACTTTTGCTTTAATGTAGGCAAACTTGCACTTCAGTTGTTTACTTTCAGTGCAGATATGTTGGAGAGGAGCTGAGGCTATAAATCAAGCTATAGAGGGGACATTGAGTTGTCTTATTAACGCTACTGTGTCTGTAGAAGCATATGTCCTAATTTTGCAACAGCTTTGTTTCTGCCATCTATATTAAAAATAGAGATGTTTTTTTTATTCATACACTTTGGAAAAGCGTCAGTTTGGGTGCCTGAAATGCCGGCGTAGTGTGGAATGGGTAGTTGGATAAAAGCGCAAAGGGAAAGTTAAGCTTTGAGATTCATCCAACTTATTGTGGACATGGTCTTGATGTGTTTTGGATGGCTTCAAACTGCACTGCGTCTTTGATCCGACTGGCTCAGATGTGTGTCAGACGTGGTCCTCCACTCCATATGTTTTCTAAACTGATCAATGTGGTGCCCTCATGGGGTCCCTTTGCACTCAGTCTCTGTCAACTTTCTTTCTCCCAGTTCCTTCCCGTTGTTCTTTTTTTTTCCACTTTACTGGAGCCGTCCAACCATTTCCAAATCTCCATAAAAATGCCACAGAGGTGCAATTAATGATCTCCCCTCCCTCTGTGAAAGAATGTTATTTAGGGATCTGGATGTGTTGACTTGCCCTACATGAAATTCAGGTACACTGAGGTACTCTGGGCATTATGCCACTTTTTAGGTCAAATCAAGAAAATCAACTAAGGAGGGTAGAAAAAAACGTAAAGCGTGTTGTGAGAGAGCAGTTGACATATTTTTTTCCTACATTTAAAAGGTAAGCCATAAATGTTTTATGTCTTCAAACAAAAGCTTATTCCCTTGTGACGATTCTACTGAAATGTCAGCTTAATATAAATATGATCTTACCATAGTAGTTTAGGGTGTTATTAGTGTTCTAAATATTATGGTATCATTTTAAATACATGAAAAATAAATGACATAACTTGTGCATACAGTTTACAGTTATAGAGTTATTTGGCTCCGGAGAACACACTCTTCCTGACAACATGGCAAATTTCATAAAGCCAGTTTTTATCTAGGTTAGTTTGATATGGATGGAGTTATTTTCAGGAGATACTATAATTCCCTCCAGATGGCAGTGTTTCCTCATTTTAAGAACCATGTAGCACTGCTTTTATAAGGTGATTGAGCACCCATTTTGTAACAAGCAAGGTCGGAATATGATGATTTTTAATATAGGTTTTCATAGGTACGGATCTCTGCAGTGTAATCTGTAATATTTACATGCAAAACTTTGCTTATTAAAGGAATAAACACAGACCACCGTAACAGAGAAGCACGCATGTCTGTTCTACTTTTGACATAAACTTTGGCTCATTAAATTCCTATGGTAAGGTATTCTGATGCCAAATGTGTGGGATTTTATTTTTTAAATGTGGATACATTGCCAGAAGGAGTCAGTGATTCAGTTGCAGTGTTGGGTAACTGAGTCTAGTCAGCAGACAGTCTAACATCTGGCTCACATCTTCTACTATTTGATCCATGCAGGACCAAACAGGGGGTGAAAGACAAATGTCTGTGGGGTAGGAGGAGAAAATCTGTTTTCCAGCATCTGTCTGTCAATGTCATATGTCACAGTGATGAGTTTCTAAGAGACAGGCTGTATCCATTCCTCATGGTCCGTTTTGTTTTCCTATGGCACTTTGTAAGGAAGAGAGAGGGGTGTTGGGATGTGTGTGTCCGAAACAGAAAAGACATGGGAGTATATATTATCCCAAGGTCACTTATGTTTTCACAAGGTCTCTTTCTTTCAGTGTAGTCAAGCCCCGGATTAATGAAAGCGAGACCTCCTGAATATGAATTCTCTTCATCAGACGACTGACTATGTGGCAGAGTGACAGGCCATATCCACAATCAGTCACCTTAATGACGCTGCGGGGAAACGAAGGTTTCCATATGCCCATGTCCTTACCTATTATGATGAATAAGAGTGATCCGGAGTCATGTTGATGGAAAATCTTACTATTAAAAGGGCAGCCTGGCTCTGATCCATCAGCGCTCTAATCACCACCAAGACCAGTATTGATTCATTCAGAAAGTGCCCTGATGTGAAAATATGGCGATAATATGAAATGTGCATTTATCTGCGTCTTAATGAATCTTATTTATGGCGAAGGGCCTGTGCATAATTTCTTACCATCCAAGTCCGAGTTTAATTCAGCGATTCATCTCTGTTATCCTGCGGTCTTAACCACACCATTGTTCATTCTCAAATACTGAAAATATTTAGAATGATACGTGTTTTTCAGCTTATTCAATCAGTTACCGAGCTGCTGTGAAACATTGTACAGCAATTCAGCCCAGTCACATAAGTGATCACTGAATCAGGAAAATATTTTTGTTATCAAGAAATGTGGTTACATCAACCTTTCTTCATGGACAATCCCTGACTCCTGTGTTATCATTGGAACACCTGATTCCAGTGACTCATACTGGGCTCCTCCAGCCTATCCATGGCACTCCCAGCTTTCCTCCTGCTACTCTGATCCCAGGGGGGTGGGGGCGCCTGCATCCTGCATTCTGTCAGAGTTGGAATTTGGATAGGACTTTCCCTGTTTGAGCAAAGCAGAAAAAGTCAGAAGCCACCCACCTCCTCCGGCTCTCATTTGGTTATGACCGTAACGTTATGTCAGCTGGAAGGCTAGTGGGCTGAATGAATGGGGGTGCTTTGCTCTGTGACATTTCCTCCTGTGATGGTGTTCAGATACTGAGCTGGCCGTTACTGCTTTCTCTGCAGGAAACGGAAAGGAAGAGTGAATCCTTTGCAGCACTGATAGTAAAGTTGTATTGGCCAGTCTGAAATTTTACACCAACAGGAGTGTAAATAACATTAAAAAAAAATCCACTGTACGCCACCTGCTCAGCATCAGACAATAGAGCGACAAAAATGGCAACTAGCTAGTGAACATAGTGGAGCACTGAGTAGCTGAAGAGACGGATATTTCCCTCAGGAGTTGGTGGAGACCA